TCCCTTTATCCAGCAGGTGCCCCACTTTCCTGTCTCCAGGAGGTTATGCATCTTGGACACTCATAGATACATCATGCAAAACATTGTAGTGCTACCTTCTCAAAAGTCTCCTGCTTTGTACTCCCCTGACCAGCTGAAAGGCATCATTGATCCATGGAGTCTGTTTACTTCTTGAGCATTAGTAACATTTATGAGCTGCCTGGCAATCTGCTGAAAAATGTTGCTGGCTATGATGCCAAAGGCATTGCTCATCTGTGCTTGAAAAAGTGATACTATGATATATGAGGGTCAGCAGACCCAGAGAGAGATCAGAAAGGTGTTTCAGTATCTGCATTAAATCAGGTGAATTTGAGTCCAACACTTTCTGAGAGGCCCTCAGACCTGGAGTAGCAGCAGAGGAAAAATGTGCATTTTTTCTCATTATTTCTCTGATCTTTTGCGAATAAATGCTTTTGAACTGATACTATTTTCTGTTTTAAAAATCCACATAACATGAATTGAAAAAGTAACTTTAGAAACATTAAAAACCCTTCCAGTTTTCTGGAGTAGAGTCAGTCAGTCATCTGGAGGTGGCTGCCTTTGCTCTCGTCCTCACTGTCATGGTTCTGTCTTCTTTGTGTAGTATCAAGCTGATATTGGGAGCAGACACCACACTCCTCCTCTAGGTTTATGCCTACCAAGACCTGTCATTCTGAGCCTAGAATTCCTACATTTCATTAATATTGTATCTTGAGCAGCTGGGAGTCCTGGCCTTTTTTTCCTCATGTTGTATATAACGCTGTGCATTCCCAAATGGGAATAGTTTGGCTGTAAAACTTCTTCAAATGGATGTGCACCATCCTCTTGGATGCCTACAGCAGTGAAGACTTACACAGCACCGAAATAGTAAGATATGAGCTCATAATCCCTGTGTGATTAAATGGGGATTTTTCTGGGCTTCATCCTGAGTTTAAGCATTCACCCTCCTCTTCCTTGCAAACTCAGTGCAACTGTTTACCTGGTCACAGGTAGTGTGTGACCTCCA